TCCCCCCCAACCGTGAGGCTAATTTTCCCTAGTGAGTGACTTTGCACGCCTTTGCCATCCAGACAACGACATACCCACCAAAATTGGAAAGGAATACAAATAAAGTACAATTAGATTAAATTTCAATGTTCATTTGCCTGTGCACAGCACATTACAGAGCAAAGGCACGAAAACCAGCTGTCTGTTTTTTCACCTTTTTTGACCGCTCCTTTACCGACATCATCGGCCGCCGCATCAACTTGCACTTCCTGGTCATGTCTGCACCAGCCGCGGTCACCTTCTTCTGTTTCACCTTCTTCTTTTACCGCTCCGTCACCAGCCGCATCAACTTGCACTGCTTGCACTCCCTGATTATGTCTGCTGCGCACAGTTCGGGAAAAACCGTGTCTAGTTTGATAATCTAATTATCTCGCTCGGCTCGCCACCGCCCGGCGACGGGCCGGTTTCGGCTGCGCAGTTCGCGCGCTCGCGCGCTCGGCTCGCTGCTGCGCGCTGCAACCCGTGCCAGCCCCCGACCGCTGCCGGCCCGGTCGCTTCCTCTCCCCTCCTACTCCCTGGTGCAAGTGTTGGTCCAGCCGCGGCGCGCTCCGGTCCACGAGTGCAGTATTTAGGGTAAGGGGCCCAGTAGTCGACTGTTTAAGAGCAAGGCTTTTCAAAATTGCCTACAACAGAGCGTGGGTGTACGGTAGCGTCAAGGAAAAATTTCGGGTGTGTAGTGGAAGGATCAAACTTTATGCCTCATAGGTCAAAAATGGAAATAAATACATTTTTGTACACAAAAATGTAAACCAAAAAACAATGTTCATTGGCCCAGTAGTCGACACCTTTGGCCCAGTAGTCGACACTGCCTGGCCCAGTAGTCGACACTCTGTCATTTTACCCGGATTGCCGTGTCTGATGGGTCCCTGCAGCCTGGCTAGCCTTCCCCTGCCTCGGTCGCCTTTTGGGCCTCCAGGGTGTCCTTCGTGGCCCTCTTTGCGAGGTGCTGTTCACCTTCTCCGGCCTTCAGGCGACCTTTTTTGAAATATGGTGAAAAACATTTTTTTCTAGTTTTACAGAACGTCGTTTTTTGGGTACATATCGGAAAATAATTTTCTTAGCGCAATTAGTCTAAAATGAAACAGTCCTGAATGAAACAGTTCAAACCGCACCTAATAATGTATAGGACGACACGATGTAACATACGAAAACCGGGAAGTGCCGGCAATAGCTTGGTAATTAAACCTTAGTTTGTTACCTAAAATGTCTTGTGGGCAAGCTGAAGATGTTATATCGCACAGCGTATCGACACCTGAGTTATATCCCTATATAAATTCCACACCGAACCGCAAATAGCCGCAAATGCCAACGGCGGCCTAGGGGGGTAAAAAGTGTCAATTTCCCTCAATGACCAAACCAATGACCCAACTTCGAACCCTTAGAGAGGGGTTGAAGGTCAGACAATGAGTCAGAATGGACTGTGCCGCAAGCTTGGGATATCTTGAAGTACTTTATTCCAGGTATACTGGTTCAATCCCAGTTTTGCACTCCACCCAAGCGGCCAGCCGCCCGGACTGGCGCGACTGCGGCGGTGCAATTGGGGTTCCAACCCCCCTCCCCCCTCGACCCCTGTGTCTGCTGACACTTTTCCTCAGGCAACCAGGGCACATTCCCAGAGAAATGCTTTACACAAATGGGGCACTGAAAGCAAACATTCGGCACAGTATTGACACCTTGTGCTTTACTGATGTCATCATGACGTATTACGAACTAGAAAATTAAGGACACACGATCCCAACAACATTTCACGTTGACAAAGGGCCCTAGTTGTCGGAATAAGCCCGTATGAAGGTAGCACACCCTCAAAATAAAGTAAGTGTTGACTACTGGAACAGATGTCTTTTTCTGGCCCAGTAGTCGACACCACCATTAGTTACGTCCCTGACCGAAATTTTCAAAAACCTAAGTGGGGAAAGATAATACATATCTTTGACAGCAACACAAACGTCCTCCGGAACCACTCGGGTGAATGGCAGCCTCACAGAACCTTCCGAGCAAACACCTGCCCACTACTCCGGAGCTAAGAAATTATGGCTCGATGTGACGCGACGAGCAGTGTTCTGTGCGAAGCGCTCCCTACCGGCTCCCGGAGGTGGCTCAGAATCGGCAATGGGTTCATTGTAATCTCAATAGGGTGCGCCTAAGCCTGGCAAAACGCCCGAGACTTTAACGTTAACTACTTCGCGGGAATTCGATCGCAAAGTTGAAAGTGTCGACTACTGGTGTACTGTCGACTACTGGGCCCCTTACCCTACATAAGATTTAAGATAGACTGGTCTGAATATATGATAAAATGTCATTACTCGTATCCTTGATTGGAGTTTCTACCTTTGTAGTCTAGTTTAGTATGAATGAGAGGCATAAGTTGAGAGGGTTTTCTTGGCTAAGAATGCATGCAATGCATATACAGAGACGTTACAGTTAAAACACTTTTTAACTTCAAAGGTAGGTGTTGAATGAAACTTTTCTTTATCCTCTATCCCAACAAGCTATTCTCAACACCTTTTTCTGCTTCCTTACTAGCTTAGAAACTATTAAATCCTGGCTTAGGATAACACGTATAACTAAGGTTCTGTAGTTCTAAGTAAGAACAAATTAGCTATAATGTCATAGAACAGATTTAATCTTTTTAAAACTAGGCACATGTGAACCTGCATATTGAGTTAAAGCAAAGTGCAAAATAACTTTACTTTACATGTGTGCTGCTTTCGTCAGTATACCTAAAGTACATTTTCAATGTGTTGCACTTCGCTCCAATGCACAAGAAAGTGAAGCCAAAGCCTAAGTTTACTTTTGCCCAGTTCAAAGAAGGATAAATATGATTGTAATAAAATTGAACCTCATTTGCTCTCAGTGCTATCCTGCTTTCTGCTTGTTGTGCTTATTCAGCTTATTCACACCACTAGAATACGATTAAGGTTTATCACCAAACAGCATATCATACTCACGGTAGTGTACCAAGTCCTTAGGTGACACTGTGGGTTTGATCTTCTGTGCCGCCAAAATCACATCATCTTTGGATGTGGGTCTGATCTGCAAGTCAGGCAAATGTTGCAATTAATACTTCAGAGCGATGCACCGAAAACAATATTACGCCTCGAACAAACAGACTGATGTTTACCTCAGTAACACTAATGGAGTCAAGCATGTCTCCTGACTCCCTCACTGGTACCATGGCGGCCTCTTTACAAACATTCTTCAAGTTTGCCCCCGAGTACCCCTGGAGTGTATCAGCAAGCAATTTATAGTCCTCGTTTGTCAAGGAAGTCTTTTCCCTTAAGAAAATAGCTTGTAAAATTTGAAGGCGAGCCTGGAAAGATATGAAAGATTAATAAGGTAATTAATATACACAGGAGGAAGTTCATATAATAAACAAGGTAGATGTACGCCAGACCACGTCTCGCGTAACAGGCTTCGCGATATCTCACGAAACACTGTTACGCTGCGACGCGCCTGGCAT